CAGTGTCTTATTTTATGGGGGGAAATAATGAAATGGTAGATTAACATTAGATTTGATAAATAAATTCCATTCATAATTATGGGGTTCATTAAATTACGATATGAGGGTGGTGTATTCAGAGATGAATAAATCATGCGCCTATCAATATGCCGACAAGTTACGCATTGGGCAGAGTTTTCTCACGGCTGCAGACATAAAGTATGATCGCCGTGTTGAATGTCGGTGTAATCAAAGCACACTATCTGTAGTAGAGATCGCTGATAGTGTACAGCAAACCGTCTAAGACCGAGTGAATAAACTCTAGCCCGCGCCTAACGATTAATTCTTGACATGGGTGTGTGTTTTGTTCATGAAATAGGAACTTTATTTATGACAATAATTACATGATTTTACGTTCGTAAAATCCGGAATTCGTAAAATCGGGGTTCGTAAATGAGGGGTTCTACTGTACTTTGTTTACAGACAATTATGGCCAGTAAATTTTAATATTTAATATTTTAATTAATATGAATCATAAAAAATGAATACAAACTCATTGGAATGAAACTACACCTAACTTGTACATCATAAATCCTATTTCAAGAATAATGATTCATATTAATAATAAATCACTATTCAAAATTTAATATAGTAATAGCCATGCTGTCTGTAAGGTTATAAATTTATAGACAAACTGTCTGCTTTGAGTGTGAACTTGAACTATGAAATCCAATATTTAAATTGCTATACTTTGTGTATATAACACTTTGCCAAGCGGTATGAAAAAGTTCTTAAGTTTTAAAGGGTGCCACCAACGCAGAAACACTCCACAGTTGCACATAAATAAAGCACAAGAAAACACCCTAGATAAAACTGTTAGATTATTGATACCATCTTAAATGAGCCTTTCCTAAAGACACCCCTCCCCACCCACCTTTGATATTAGGGAGTTTTCGATTGCACAACAACGGAAGGACGTAGAACGTAATAACGTGTGCGTATTCTTGGCCCGGATCTGATTGGTCAGTTAAGTTTGACTGACAAACCGAAAAGGTCAATTGCCAGTCAAGTGTTTTGTGCAGTTGAGTGCTAGAAGCGCCACCAGTGGAATAATACACAATTACAAAAGAATAGTACATGTGTCTGAGTATATTCATCGCTGGCCAATTTCACACGTGATTAGCATGTAGGGTAACCTAAACAGAGATGCAGTTATGGTGAGTAGGGGGGGGGGGCACTAAGCCTTGAACTTTTCCACCCGGTCTAAAGAAAATTTCATGGCCCTCCACCCACATTTATTAACCTCCTTGCCCATTCTTAAAATCTATTATTATTTTGTATTGTTTACCACTCCATCCCCCATTAACATGTCTACCACTCACCCTTAGCTTTCTACAGCTACAACCCTGGCTTACCTAAGATAGTGAGTACAGCCTTAGCAGAATCATCCCCGGCTGATGATGTCACATTGCACTGGTACTGCCCCTTATCTGCCTGTCGCGCGGAGTTAATCCTCAACGATCCATCCCCAAGCTGAACAAAACGAGTATCACTAAAGTCTACGCGAACATCCTCATGGTACCAAGATATATCGAGGCTGATGGATGGATCGTAACTGATGACACAGTACATGATGGTGTCTTCCGCCAGAACAACTTGCGTGTTAACCGGTCGTATCTCAATGTAAGTGCGTTCTGTTGACAAGATAAACCAATCAAGAATAAACTCTGATGCGCAAAAAAAAATATGAACTCAATGCTATGAAGTTTTAGTTTGCACCATATGCATATGTATCAGGGTTCAGAGGTTGGAAGAAATCTCTTCCGGTAGATCTGGTTAAAATAAGCCTTTTTAACGTATTTAATTTTATTTTACTACAGGTATGGTGATACCCATGAGAACTGATTTTCAGGAGACAATTGATAATAATGCAGTAAAAACATTCAAGCATTCTAAATTTGCAGGAGATGGGTTATTTTTTTTAGGGTGACTCTTCATTCTTCAGTGAGACTTTGACAAATGTACTATACTTAAACATAAATACAACATAAATAATACAATGTATATGTTAACATTTATAAGCCAACATTAAAAATAACAAAACAGGAAAACAATTTTTGAACAAAAAGTATAACTCCAATGCCACCTCACTGTCAAAATGCAAAATTAATGGCTGTCTGGTAGCTCCAAAGAAAAAAATAAATATATTTAAATTTCTATTTTAAAGCAATTATAAGCATTTATTTTCTCTTACAATTTTGACTTTGTTATTTAATGCACATACAATGTGGTTATTGTATATTGCTTTATAAATCATTGTATCACTATGAGTACAATAGAAACTAGGCCAAGTTAACTTGCAACATGAAATTAACCTTTTTCATAAGTGGAAATTGGCCCGAAGTCCCACGAATTCTACACCTCAATAACCAACATCATCGATATTAATATTTAAAACAATTATCAGCATTTATTTTCTCTTACAATTTTTATTTTGTTATGTTACGCATACAGAATTAAGTTAATCACTATTAAAAACTATCAAACAAATCCGGATCAGCTAGGCCAGATTAACTTGAAAAATTTAATTAGCCTTTTTCTTAAGTGTACATTGGCCCGTTGTCTCTTACTAAAACATGTGAATAACTATCCTAACTATATAATGTACATAAAAAAATTATGTCACTTACTTTGAACCAGTAAGTTTGCACTGGCATTCACAGATCCTACAGAGTTTGAGGCGATACACGTATACAATCCGGAATCGGTAGTCTCCGAGCTAAAGATCAAAAGATCACCGTTGTCTTTCAACTCAAATCGACCAGCTTCTATCACTGAGTCTTCATTTATTATAAGTGTTTCACCTGCAGATGGATAAATAAGAAAAATTTATATGAAATCCATTACAGCTATATATTTGTTCATGTATATATAATTAATTCATGTATATAGACAGGGGCGGATCCAGATGTCCAAAAGGGGAGAGGGGGCCCCCGAAAGAGAGACCGATCGAGACAACACTGTCATTGGGGGGGGGGGACATGCCCCCGTGAAATATATGTGTTCTAGAAGCCCGAAAATAACATTTGAGGCATTCTGGGCTATCATAATTTACTTTTCCTTTCCTTTTTTTCTTTTTTTTACCTTCCAAAAAATGGGAAGGGCCCTGGGGAATGGGCTCCCCCTAAATCTGCCCCTATATAGATAACAATCTTAAATTCCAAATTACTAGTATGATTACTGAATAGATAGGCCCAAAGGTTGGTGTTTCTTAATGTGGTATTTGATGATTTGTTTTATATATTTATATTTATTTGTTCATATTGTAAAACTTAAAAGTATTTCAACCTTTCGTTCATTATAAAAATTTTATATCAAATAAAAAAATAAACTAATTTTAAAAAATAAATAAATAAAAAGAAATAAATAGAAGGAAATACATAAAAATAAACATAAATAAAAATAAATTTAAAAAATAAAATAAACAGATAAAAATAAATAAAAATATTATTTTTAAAATGATTCTTTAATGTGAATCACCCACAACAATCCTGGTGTTTTATACATATTAAGTGGCATTCACACTTGTAAGTCAAATAGACTACTAGTAATAATAATAATAATAATAATAATAATAATAATAATAATAATAGTTCATTCTTATATAGTGCAAGTAAGCAGGCTCTCAATACGATGTGTATTAATTGTTAAACTGGAAATTATTATTCATTAAGTAAAAGCAATTAATAATTGAACATATCAACAAATATTTATATGTTTAGCAATCTAAAATCACCATTTTGCGACTATTCATTTTCAGTCCACGTATCTTGAATAATTGGGACATACATCTTGACGACTAGATGTCAAAAAGTGGCCAACATATTACAGCAAATTTTGTACAAATAAATCTTTAACACATGATTTAAATAAAAAAAAAAAACTTATGTTATCATAAGATTGCTCGATGTAATAATTCATAAGAGACAGGAATCTGAATGTTTTTTTTTTCCATTTCTGTCCAATTTGTTCGCAAAGTGCTCTCCTCGGGTGGCACGCGCTGCGATTTATAGCAATTTAATTGCTAGCATCCTACATGGCACACAGCAGCCTTATTCTGGCAATTTCCAGAATGCAATATAACGGTGCGGCCATAAATATACAGCACTGACCGTCCTTCTTTTTTAAGACTTATGGATAACGATCAAACTTGATGTTCGGTAATGTAATACTTTCAGCTAATATTAGATATGCCACGAAGCGTGTCTATCCTGTTTTTTTAAATCTAATTTTACACCACAGGCCAAAAAACTGGGCATGTGTAATGTTATACAGGCTATTATTGGCAACATGTACAAGGCTACAATTAACATTATATCATATCCCATCTGCAGTTTGTGATTGATTGATAGATTGGTTAATTGACTGATTGGTTGATTGATTGTTCTGACTGACAGATTGGTTGATTGACAGATTGGTTAATTGATTGATTAATTGATTGGTTGATTGACTGACTGATTGGTTGATTAGTTGATTGATTGATTGATTGATTGACAGATTGACTAATGTATTGATTAGTTGGACTGACTGACTGATTAGTTGATTGATTGATTGAATGATTGATTGACAGATTGATTGATTGGTTGATTGACTGACTGATTGATTTATTGACAGATGGCTGATTGATTTATTGACTGACTGACTGACTGACTGACTAATTGGTTGGTTTGTTGATTGATTGATTGATAATAACAATAATAATTACTTTATTTCAACATGGAAAAATTTGATCACCCTAGGGAATTTTTCATCCAAGGCCGTGCATTATCGTAAGTCGTGACTTTTTTTATACCTTGTTTCGCGTACTTATTTTTTTAAAGATCGTCAGAGGGCTGAACAAAAATAAAAATAAAATTGCATTTTCATATTTATTAAATAGTTTTGCCAAAAAACATCCAGACAATGGAGAAAAAAAGATTGACTTTCATTGGTAAACGTAAACAGTGTAGTTAAATAGGATGGTTAAATGCTTTAAATGTATATAATAGGAAGAAATATACATATCTTATTTTTAAAGACAGCGGAGGTCATAATAAAAATGAAGAAAAACTTTACTTTTAACTGAAAATTCCATTTTTTCGTGGCGGCCAGTGCACTAATTGGCCAGAAATAAAATTTAATTTTTATTTGAAATCATCATTATTTGAAGGTGTTAGGTTCGCTAAACAAGGTACAAAAATAGTCTCCCCTAAGTGGTAAAATATAAAAATACAAAATATGAAATAACAAACATTTCAAGAATTTGATTACGTAATAAATATTTTTAAAATTACAATTTAAATAGTACTTAATTAAGTCAAAATATATCAAAACACGTACAGTAATTATTTTTAACATATCTGTATAATTAATTATATTTCAATATCAAAAGTTAGATTAGAATGTGTCATTTTAATTTAGTAATATTTGCTGAATTTCTATAACTCATCATTAAAATTATTTCATTGAATTATTATTTATTGATTTTTAAGTTTATATGAAGAGCATAGCTCTAAAGGCATTTGTTTTATTTTAGCAGACACAATTGCCTACTTCACTTGCTTGGCCCATTTTGATTATCCCAGATAGTAAAATATACATACTTTTACATCAACTTATTTTCAAAATCGATTGTACAAATTTTAATGTATAGTTTTAAATGTGATTGATATTAAAATAAAAAACACAGAATTGAGTTGAATTTACAGTAAATTTTAAACCACTTAAATCAGCATTCAATGCACTTAATAATAACAATTATTATTATTATTAATTTGTATTCAGCATTTTTTCATACAAGATTTTATCATAACCACTGACAGTACTATATATTAACATATAAAGCAAGCAGAATTTATAGCAAATTCTAAAATTACACATTGCCAATGGAACCAATACAAAGATGTAACACATTCTATGCTCCCTCGGGAAATACTTTATCATTCTGCAGATTGTAAAACAACGTAATACTGGGCATCAAACCAAACATTGCCATTATTGATTAATACTCCTGGGTGGAGAGAGACAAGATACAAAATGTCTAGCCCAAGGACACTAAAGCAAAATTGATTAAAAAAATCCAAGATATATATTGCTTGCTTGAGAACACACTTGAATCGATAGAATGGGATTCAAACCACCAAGCTGAAATTTCAGAGCCTGATACCAAAGTGTATAGAATTTAAAGAGAGCTGCATTTTATACGTTAAAAAAAGACAGTACTGTCACGAGATAGGGGGGTGCCCTATCAGAATTTGAATAGGTTTCACTCGAAACTTAGCTTTTAAAGACACACCCCTTCATGGCAATACTTTTTGGAATGCAGTTCTATACACTTTGTTGATATTAACTCTCTTTAGCTCTTCTTTTTTAAACCACAGCCCCCTAGCTCTTCTTTTTGAAAGCACCCCGCACCCCTCCTTTTTCAACACCCTCTGCCGTCCTCTTCCGAGGGTATAGCACTTTCTATAGAGCTTTCTCATGAAACTTAAAACATTTTTTAAAATTTAAATTCAAACAAAAATGCTTTGTTCCCACTTACAGACGAAAATTTCAAAAACATCTAAAATATATCACAAGGTATAAAAACATTGAAAAAAAAATTATCATCAAAATTATTATTATTATTGTAATTATTACTATGCATTATAGTATACTATAATTTAATAGAAATTAGGTTTGATTTTTGTTTATATGGTGACCAGCAAGGGTGTAATGTATACTGTAATGAATTTCTGCTTGTTTCAATGTTTTCCTATTAAACAAAACAAATAGAATAAAAAGAAAGCATTATTTAATCTGAATTAATCTCATTGGATAATGTTCTTATATAAAACCAAAATCTTTTTTTTTTTTTAAATAGTAAATAAAAAGCTCAGTTTTAGAATGCAAGTTTATAGTTTCATTTTGCATTCAGGAATACTTTTAGTAGATTTGTAGGTGATGTCAGCACCAAAAATTAGTCCAATAGTCAAAGGTCACAACCCCGAGGCGAATTGTGTGTCCTACTATATGTGTGCGACATACATGAACACACTACACTTGGTAAATTAAGCTGTTACGAGTCGTTACAAGTATAAATCTAGGTGGAATATATCAAAGGAAAAAGACGCATACTGATAAATTCTCAGTGTTTCATCTATGTATCAATTACTGGTATTATTATCATTACTACCAGTATTTCATTATTAATTTTATTATCTCCGTACCAAAGGAGGTTACGTATTCACCGCTGTCTGTGTGATAGCAAGATAACGCAAAAACTAAGGAATGGATAATCATAAAATTTAGTGTAAGGTACATAATAATCTAAGGAAGAGATGATTAAATTTTGGGAAGATATCGGTCTTCATAAAAGGCCTGCTTATTGTTCGGCATTCAGGCACAGGGCGGAAAGTATGGTAATAGAATCGCCCATCATACATGACCTGTGTAATGTTCGGGATTCAGGCACAGGGCAAATGTATACACTCTATGTAGTGGCTGCTCTATCTTATTAATCATAAATGAAAATTATTATAGTTAATACTGCAATATAGTTAGAAATTATATTTAAATGAAATAAAATTACCATAATTCCTTGGCAATAAGCCCACCTTGGGTATAGAATTGAATATACCTCCTACTATTCTAAACATGATTTCACATAGGATGGGAATTACATCCTAAAAATTACAACATAGTTATCATCAATGTCATATTAATATTAATATTAATCTTATTATTATTATTATTATTATTATTATTATTATTTTGCTATGACATTCAATTTATTCAGGCAAAAGGTTTTCAAAATGTAAAAATACAAACTATAAACAGAAGCTGCAGGAAGCAGCTACACCATGTTACTTAAAAGACTTAAATATTAGTGAATTATTATAAAAAAATTAGTCTCCGTTAATCAAAAAAAAAAATCTATTAAAAATATGACCAACATTTAATAAAAATAAAGACTTAAATATTAGAGAATTATTATAAAAGAAATTAGTCTCTGTTAATTAAAAAAAAAATCTATTAAAAATATGACCCAACATTTAATAAAAATGATGCTTGATGCATTGCAACTAAGTTCCTTTATGGAGTACGGGGGGATTGAACTAGCATAAGGATGCTTATCCCCTTCCTTTCCACCTCCCCCCACCCTCCTCCAAAGAAAAATCCTCCTCTCCTGAAGGCATGTTAAAAAAAATGCCCTCAAGTGTTTAATCCCTGGCTCACCTGACCTGATTATTCTTTAAAGACCCGAAGGTACACTGATTAATCTCAGATAAGAAAGTATAATACTTACTCCAACCATTGAAATACACGCCATCGTGTTGGAATTCAATATTTCGACATTAATTATGTCATCATCAGATAATTAATGTCGAAATATTGAATCCCAACACGATGGCGTGTATTTCAATACTTGGAGTATGTATTATACTTTCTTATCTGATTATTCTTTGTGAATTTCTGATTTTTTTTTTTTTTTTTTTTGTATTTGTAATGTTTTATATTGTTAATAGATTTTGCCAGAATGAATAAAATAAAATAAATAAATAAAATAAAAATTGACCACATATTACATCATTTTCCCACCTAGTACATCTCACTATCTCTTTTTTGCCCCACCCCATCAGCCTCCGCCGTGTCAATGCCCTTATATACACCACTAAAGTGTAAGTCGTTAAACCTGAATAAGAACAATTCTGATATAGATTTTTTTCTAGGATAAAACTCTGGGGTTTGGGTGTGGATGGAAAGCACCCTAAATAATACAACCTTAAAATTTCACTGCTTACACAGCCAGCAATATTACAATAAATAATAAACATCAGAACATATTTTAAGGTTAGAAGAAGGGAGTTAACATATTAACAGTAAAACATACCGTAATATTCATAAAGAAAATAGTTATTAAAGCAAGGATTAGAAACATTATTGTAACCATAATATTCTTACCAAACAATATTTCTTTGAAATATGATTAAGTCATTAATTTACTTACTATTACTATTAATAGAAAGTTTGGGATCGTCCAGAAGCATGTTCAATCAAAAAGATTATAAGTAGGATCACATTGGCTTAAGCATGGGATCAGAAGAAGGGATTAGGATATGATACTAAACACCATATACCATATACTATTACAAATGAGGGATTATGGAACAGGTTAGGAATACAATGGTACCAATTAACCGACCAGATTATTAAGACCTATAAAGCAAAATGAACACCAACATGTCATAAGAATAACATACATACAAAACTGGTTTATCTTTTTAGAATTCTATCTAACCAAAAATTTGGCAAAAACAATGCCATTAGCAATTAGCAGGGGATTAGCCGCACATAGTAGGTTGACTAAAACTAAATCTTAACAAAGAACAGATACGAAACCTGAGAAAATATAAGAAGATGAATTGGTGAAGTTGACTGGAAAGATAAAACAGAAATGAAATGAAAAATATATACATACAAGCAGAGTCATAGAGAAAATAAAAGAGATTATGGCTGATAATCATGCATAAAAGAACAAGTTATTTATACATATTGTAAAATGTAATAGGTGACGATGAGTAATATGTTTTATTGTTTTATAAAATTTGAATAGTATGGTGATGAAACAGATGAATAATGGACAAAGAGATTTAACGCTGCATGTATAACAAAATATTCAGTGACAATGAGTAATGTGTTTTATTGGTTTAAAAAATGCAAAGGCTACAAAGGAGTATTTGACATAGCAAGTATTATTGTATTGAATATAAATGGTTGGGTTAACAATGAGTAATGTATTTTATTGTTTAAAAAATATTTGATTGATGAATGACTAACTTATTCACTTTCACTCGTTTAGACGAGACTTTTTTTACACAGGTTTAATGAACACACCTTCCACCAATATTATTGATTTCAAATAAAAATAAAATTTAATTTTTGGCAAATTGTTTTGTTCAGCCTAATAACCTATTCTCTTTAGTGGCAAATAATATAAATCTTGAATGCCAAATATATTTCTTTCAATTTTATGATGTACAGAGCGTGAAGTCGGTCACTACTCCGACCAGACAAAAAGAATCGACCAATTCAACGCAGTACTGTATTTACAGCAGCTATCTCCTTTCTATTAAACTGTCATCACACTTTCGGTCGGCTCGCATAAAAATAATTAATCGTACTAGGCAGGTTCGTGGAAGCTCTCTTATCTCGCGTGATTGACAATCACGCAAAGCGCCTAGCCTCATCCAAATCTACATGAGTTCACTAAACCGTATACGTGCAAGTGTCAGTCAGGTCGTGAGGCATGTTGCTTCAATTAATTGGAGAGTTGGAGAAATTCAAATGCTTTTTAGTTGACGAATATGGCCTTCGTAGGCCTGAAGCTCGGTCTACACTGTCATAAACTGTTGTTTGCCCATATTTAGTCATGCTGTGCCTATATATGGTCATAATGTGATGTCATCATGACCTTATTTAGACATGTCACCCATTTTTTAAATAAAAATTTGATAGTCTGGACAAGGAAGGGTTTTAACAGCAGGAATTCTTGGTCTATTCATCACATCATCAATTTTAAATTTTAAAATATAGTGGAGTTTTTTTTTTTCATTCTAATGTATGTAATAAATTACATACCAATAAATCAATAAAAAAAAACAGCCATATTAAAAAAAAACAAAAAAAACTTTTTAAAAATCAATTATTATTTGATATTATAAAGTTAAATATTATAGTAGCCTAATATTTAAATGGAAAGAAATGTGATGTAATAAAGATTAGGTATTTTATCTTCACTTGTTATCATTAAACAATTAGACCCCACTTTTAGGCTACTTAAATAGTGTAAACATAATATGGTGAGTTAAGGAAATTGAAAATGCTACTATTTCTTAAGAAATTGAACCACTTTTTATGTACAGTGCTAACATGTTTGATTGGATAGTGTCATTAGTGGTCTCAGAAATTCAAAACCTTCTCGAGAATAATCTTAAAGCTTCAAAGAAATGTGATGACAGCGTGAAATGTGTTTTACAATAAAGAGGAAGTGTCGTTGCGGAGAACGCATAAGTCATCAGACAAAAATCAATGAATGTGAAATGTTCAGGAAGATCGGAATGAAGGTTAAAATCATTAACCATATTATTTCGATCATAAACTACAACTGAATAATTACATTATAATATTTTTGTCTGTGAAACTAAGCAGATGTTTGATCAAACTTTTGTTTAATAGAGTAAACTTATTTATTTTTGTCTGTGAAACTCAGCAGATGCTTGATCAAACTTTTGTTAGATAGTGTAAACTTTTTTTATTTTTGTCTGTCACACTTAGCAGGTGTTTGATCAAACTTTTGTTTGATAGTGTAAAGCCTATTTAAAGCTCTGTCCACAGTATCAAACTTTAATGTGACACATACCTGTGATTTGCCCTTATATGGGTATGATATGACATCACCATGTCCATATAAGGGCAATTCACACACATTTGAGACTTGTCATCCCAAAACCAGCATACTGTCACTAATTAGCATAAGAATTTCACATAAAATTTAATAGTGTGGACAGAGTTTTAGGCTTGTTACTCAAAAAACAATGTTTGATAGTGTATGCTTGTTTCAAATTGTCAGACTCCAAAGGAAATGTTTGTTCAGACTGTGTTTAATACTGTATTCTTCTTGTTGACTCAATGGGTTTCATTTTTTATCAAAAAGAATGAAGTAGTGAAGATACCTTTCATCCATGCGACATTAGGGGCCGGAGCACCAGTTGTGAGACAATGAAGCAATGTTTGTGTCATCTCTACTACCGTCGTATCGACCGGTGCCAGCAACATCGTAGGTGGGATTCCTATAAATATGTCACAAAAGATTTAATTTAATTTGATGAGTAGGAATTATTGATAACAAAAAATAATAATCATAATAATATCACTAAAATAATATAGGAGTGGTGATTTTGCACTAAATGATGTGTTATCGTAGTGAATACTAAGAATGTTCCCAAATACTGGGAGAGGGAATCGAACCTACACCCTCTAAATAACTAGCCTGGTGTCATAACCACTAGACCACAGAGACTAGTGTTGAATCCCAGCTAACAACTACACTAAATACAGTACATCAATAACAAAAATACTACAACAAAAATATCAATACCAACATAAATAATGTTTTAGTTAGAAATTTGGTTGTAAATTGCTGATGTTTTGCATTAATTTATAGTAATTCTAGGCTTGGATTTACAACAATCATTGTCTCACCTACTATAGCAATATGCGTAGGAAGAAGTAACATGCTACCACTAAGAGACAGTAAACCATGACAGTTTTGACTGGCTAGCCTGACAAGGTTGCAGATTTTCCCGGAACATATTATCTGTGACAAGCGGTTTATTATGGACTACAAATATGCACATACAACATTTTTAGCAATTAATCCCAAAAGCCAAGAAAATTTGTCTCCATAAAAACAAATCAAATAATAATGAGATATGTGCGTACGTTCAACTTGAAGTCTTGTGTCTGCGATGGCTTCGTCGACCTCATTACTTATCTCGCACTGATACATGCCAGCATCGGACGGTTCCAAATCTTGAATTTGTAGACTACCACTAGCTAGCACCTATTAAGATACAAACATTTATATAATATTGTTATATGTTAATATACAAAATTCAAGATTCATTTTATTGACTTGTCCATTAAAAATACAAATGTACATACAGTAAATATGGAAAATTTGTTTGTTTGAATACACATATTTTCAAGTACAATTTGAAATATATTAAAACAAGTTAAACAAAAAATATATAAAATATGTTGTTATATTTTGTGGTAAAAAGACATTAGGAATCATAGTTATACAAATTAGGAGATCCTAATGTAAAAATGACAATCATTAAAAAAGGCAAAAAGGAGATATTGAAATGAATATTCCATCAAAAAAACTGAAAAAAATAAATTTAAAAAAAAAAGTACATTTTTAATAAAATTAATCTATGGGCTTTGCTGTTAAAAATTTTAATAGAACCATGGTACCAAAGAAGTTTGGTAACATCCAACTCTAATGACTGAAGATAATTATATTGTGAAAACAGTCAGTGATTCTTGTCTAACATTTTTTGACAAAGGCTAGAACATTATTATTAAACTCATAATTTATGTTCTTTATTTATACACAAATATATGATTTATTTAATTAGCTTCCTTCTCTGTATGTTGCATGTTGCAAGCTACTGTTTCAGATATTGTTCTCGTTTTCTCTAATATTTTTTGGTAATAATTTCATTGAATAAATGATTTCATTTTATAAACAAAATAGTGGCCTAAATGGTAAAGTTAAATAGCAAAGACTGCTAAACTGCTATACGTGCTTAAAATCTTAACCTGCTTGCCGGTCCTTAACTGCAGCAGAAGGGTGCAGAGATACTGGTTCCTCTGCTTGTGTTGTGTTTCAGGTTTTTTTTTTGTTACAAGGTAGTTTTGTATAGACCCTGATTTACTTTTTCCCATTTCGGTTCTCTCAGCGCATAGAGACCCTGGTATTATGCACTATATATTAATCCCACTAATATACATCCATTGAAATGCTGGAACATAAATCAAATGGGCCAATGCAGCTTTGTGGTGATTTGAAACAATTTTTTTTTACTCACTTTCTAAGTAGGGAACAGCAATAGTTACTGAAGTATTGACATGGAACAGAGATCACAAATTATGCTCTTAAGATCTATAAATGATCCTCCTAGTACCACTCAAGAATTTACATTGATATCAACATTCAGACGACCGCTGAAAGTTAAACTTTTTTGCCAAACGCTCATTCGTAATACACATCTTGAGACAGTTGATGTAACTTATAACAAGCATCGTTGATGTGCACTACAATTTTGATGTAATATCGGCATATAAAATTTATAATATCATACGCCAATCGTCTTGAGCATTTGGAATGACAGAGAAACTTAGAAGAAATACTCCAATTCAATGATATATGTAGAGATAAACTATACCTTACGGTAATGCTGAACATACAAATTGTATGTAAACATTAAAGGGAATATTAAAGAGAGTGGAAAATCATAGATACCCATCCAACCAACAAAAACTATATTATAGAATAGATAAGCAATTTTTTCCATAATAATATAAATAATACATAATATAATATACAATTTATATATAATCATTCAATGCGAGGTCATTGCACTCCTTGTTCAAAGTAACACACTATTGTGTGCTCAGCTGTAGTTCCAGTTATTTTAAATCTCTTTAAGATTTTTACATGGCACTTGGTTAGCAATTCTTTTTTGCTGCAAACAGAGCAGAGGAGGGAGAGAGGTTAGAAAAATCACCCCTTTTGCACCTCCTGGATCTGCCACTAAATGTAATCATGTAAAATACAGAATTATGTTATTGATCAAGTTTTTAAGAAGTACTTTAACTGTACATGACATGAAATATTAAATTTCAGAAGTAAGAGTTAACAATAATCAAGAATGACATTCAAAATCCTAGTTGGCCTTGGGAATGGGTCGAAGATCCAACTTCTGTTGTCAAACATAATTGTTAATTTCTATACTGAAATCATATATTCAAGATATGTAACTTCTGATTAAGGAAGTTCAGTTTAATATCGAACATCAATAGAGAAAAAGACCAGATATTGAAAAGGAAATGCACACGTTTACAATTTATACGAATGTTAATTTCTGAATGTCTTGGAAATAAATTGAACTCGGGACCCTGCGATTGGAAAACAAATTTTAGCCATGAAGTTAGTCAACTCCAGTATTTTTTTTTCTTAGCAAGACTTTGTTATGTTTCACAAACTTAATTTTAAGAAGGGAGAAAAACAAAAAAAATACAATTTTTTGTTTTCTTAGTTTTCTTGCAAATAGTTTTGCAAAAAACACCCAGAGGAAAAAAATAAAAATAAAATTGTATTGGTGAATGTTAACAGTGTATTAATAAGATGGTTAAATGGTACTTTAAATTTATTAAATTAGGAAGCAATATACATCTTATTCTTGGAGTGTAATAAAAATAAAGAAAAACTTTTATTTTTTTTCTGAATTTTAAACTTTTTCGTGGAAGCAGGTGTATAAATTGGCCAAAACTAAATTTTATTTTCATTCAGAATCATCATTATTGGCAGGCAGTGGGTCTGCTAAACAAGGTATAAAAAGGTCTCACATAACAGTATTTATATCTTTTATATCAGTTAAGAAAACATTCTTGTTTAGGGACAGGATTTGAACCTATGACCCTACCAAGCTACAGTTCCGATAACAAATTTGTTTACTTATGTCAATATGATGAATTAATGTAAGGCAAAACCAAGTTGCAAAAAAAAAAAAAAAAAAGCCTCAGGTGTTTTTATTACACCGTTGTGCAACAAACATATAAATGGACTTTGTATCAAAAAGCATCAAAAAGCTACAAGAAAGAAGATCCATATCTGCCACACAATAAATGTATTAATCAATAGTTTTGTTAGCAGTACTGATATTAAAAATCTAAAAATTTTGGTAAGAAAATAAATTGAACACAGCAACCAATAGCAAAAGAGATTTACAAGGACAGAGTAGAAGAACGATAACAAAACACTTGAGATAATAATAACAAGCTTAGGAGCCAGACCTCAGTTAAACTGGATTACTATTCAATACTGTACACCTTTGTGCACCATAAAATCAAAAACATTAAATATGACTGATTCTTGCAATAACACTGTGTTTCTCAAATTACAAGTTTCTGAACCTTCATTCAATAAACGACCCTCGTATTAATGTTGCTAGTACATCATAAAAACAAACCAAGAAACTACCTGATAGCGAGAAATCCCAATATCTTCAACTTTCACTGCATTGCGATACCATGTAATATTTGGCCGTGGAATTCCCAAGGGTTGGCATGGTAGATCGACGATAGTATCCACGTCACCTGTTACAGTTCTGCCTGCATGCAAGTTAAACTCGGGTGAAGCTAGAGACAAATAAAACGTGCGTTATTTCACAATAAAATATATCTTAGCAAGTTTTGTGGCTTGTTTAAAAGTGTGTATCTAATTTAACAGCATTTATTTTAGTTGAAAAACTGAAATTAAAAAAAAAAACTTATCTGGTGTTAAGTTCATTTTTAAGTGTTCTTTTTACAGAGAAAATGTTTTACATGAGCAAGTCAGTTTTTTTGAATAAATTTGTAATATCTTCTAACACATTTGCAACGAATATGGTTATCATCAACCATAAAAAAAAAAATATGAAGGGTAACACTGCACGTCAACATACGATTATCTATGTCGAATTCAGATTAACAAGCTAAACCGTTGTGTTAGTCGAAAACAAGCATGCACCAGAGAAAAATGAGAGAATAAAAATTAAAGTGTTATGTTGTAGTTTCCGCAATGAAATTTCAGTCATAACTTTAAAGCAGTAATTAGATATAATGAAGCGAATTACTTAACTAGGGCAGATCTTGCACCTTAAACACAAACTTCATCACAGCACACTTCTCGCTAGGATCGTGACAACTGTCTCCGGAGACCTAGTCCGTGATCGCGACAGCTATCATTTACTAAACCATTATCACAGTGTACTCCACTGGCTATAACGATAATCACACTCTAGGGTGTGCTTAACTGATGGGCTGGAACATGGGCGAGAACGCACGCAATAGGTACGAAACAAAGAGCTTTAGATGCTAATATCGCCGTCAGCTTAAGTGGGAAGAAAGCCATACATATCACTTACGTGTTACAGAGGAAAGAGCCAAATCAAATCTTTCCAGATTCATTTTATCACTTAGGAGTTACTGTATCAAAAATAATTTAAAGAAAATACCTCATTCATTCTATCACCGTTTCACCTTGCTGTCACCTGCACCATTATCATTACCAACCATATCAGTATCATTCTCAATACAATCAACTATATTAGCATCATACGACACATTTCTTCTTTTTTTTTTTAAATAACTGTGGCTGTTATTTCACTCCGGAATTATCCATATCTTTGCATAAGCAAAATAATGTCCTTCGAGAGAATTTTCACGTATTTGCATTTTGAACGTGATTTATCTCAACAATGTTGTCGAGTGACCTTTAGTGTATCAGTAAATATTACAACTAGATTCTTTACTAAACTTTTGTACATTCTAACGCATCTTTTTATTAAGATAGAAACTTTTAAAATGAACTACTGACAGGTTAGTACAATAATTGATATATTTGTCACCAAGTTCATACCAAATTTAACATAAAAAGAGGTATAGTAGTTGATAAAGGAATTAAAAACAGACTTTGTTGAAGAAACATTTAACGTAGATATTAGTAAACCTTTAGATTAGAAGTGGACTTGTTGAATAAAGATCTAAAATCTTATATATAATATAAAACTTTTTATTAATATTAATAAATTAAGTTATAAATAAAAGAAAAAAAATGTTTAAAAACAATAAAAACAATTTATCATAAAAACTAACCTAACTCGACAAACTTCTCCTAAAATAGACCTAAAGACACACTGATATTAATGATATAAAAATACACTATGAACAATATTAAACACTAATGTAAATTATACAAGGATACAAGCAAAAAAAAAAAAAATGGATGTAAGATTGAGATAGAGTAATTTAAAATTACACTTAAAATGTCCAGCTATGACAGGGTTTGAATCCAGAACAATAGGAATGGAAGGAACACATCTTAATAAACAAGCTATGATTAAAACAGAGTTTTTTTCATTTTACCAAGTCTGAAAATAGACGTCTGACTCATGATTTAAAATTGATGTGTCGTTGAATTATTTTTCATACACATTGTGTTTGTGTCAGAATAATGTATTTCATTCTCTGATAACTGATTTATGAAAGTACTACAATTGTCTGTAAAAATACAGATAGGGTTTCCATGATTTCTAAATATTTATTTTATTCATGTTTTGTTGACAGACCTGTGTCTATCCAATTTTAATTTTTTTTAAAAAATAATATGGTTGTTATGAAAAATTGTCTATATTTATATTCTTAATCAAAATATTTTGTGAGTAATAATAATAATAATAATTTATTGACTCTCTCTTTCAAAGCAGAGGAACACTCTCATGCAGGAGAGGTTCAACCATACAATGGAACAAGTTACAAGATAAAATTCATAAAAAAAAAGAGACAATAGTAATGAAAAATCCAAATCCAAATAAAATAATATTATTCTAAAGTTTAAAATCTTAACTAAAAGAAAAAAAAAAAAAAAAAAAAAAAAACTAGAAGGGAAAAAAAAAAAATGTAATATTAATAAAATAAAGTGAGGGTAGTTCACGTTTCTTACTGATATTAAATGATTCACAAAAAAAAGAAAAAAAGAAACTACTATACACACTTAACCTTGATAATAAATTAAAACATAGTTTTCCTTGTGAAGTTTATTACATGACCTTTTATCATTATACCTGTCCTCCAGGGGTTTTTTTTCTTACTTTTTCATAATGGTTATATGTTAGGCTTTCTTTTATTCTAGCATTTATTATACTATCTACAGCAGAAAATCTAAGCCTTTGTTCTAGCCACACTGGTTGTACATCAATTTCACTTTAGTCAATAACTCAACGGAGAAAACAACAATGGTAATTGCACTGAATGCATTGTTTTCATAGTGATATAAGCATGTAATAATAAAAAAATAGAGGAATAAAGACTTAAGTCCTTTCACTATCAGAAGAGAAACAGATTAGTATGGTAATACAATACTTTCCTGGATGTAAATTAACAATAGTGGTGAGAGTTTGGGCGTGACTGAGCCTAAAGCTGTTATGGCTAAATATTACTGCTGTTTACACACTTTGCTTAATAATGCTTTAAGTTTTAACAAGATTTTGTGTGACAAATTTGTGCCCTGTGCCCATCACATGGAATTTGTGCTTTATGTTATTTATATTTATTGATTAGATTTTACATTGACAATTTATAACTGGAAGGTAGTCAGTGGTGGAACTTGCTAACAAGTGCAAAGCACCTCTAAAAACAGCCCAAACCATATAGTGTGGACAGTGTTTAGTGTGGACAGAGCTTTGTGTGGAGAGTTGAACTAGTGTGGACACGGCCTAGTGTGGACAGACCTTTAATTAGACCATAGAGAAAATAGACAGTGCTAAGACAAAATAATTAGATTTACAAGGTAAAAAGAGGAAAATGGATGAAATCTGTTGTAATGTGTTTTTAGTTCTTCACCTAATAACACAAGGAGACCACAGATGGATTTGAATTTGCATGATAAGGTGTGAAGGGATCACTACTGTTCATCTGCTAATCTTTCTGGTACAATTTATTCAGATAAACTATTAAACTGCAGCTGTAGATGAATGCACTAACGTCTGCTGTGTCTTAGGCTTGGTTTTCCATACCATCGCTACACTGTTGCTACAGATTTTTTTTAAAACTGCAATCGTTGCACTGCGTAGCTGACCCCCGACACAATCGGGAACGCTCCTTGACTCAACTGACCAATCAGCATCGCCAAAAGAAATCGGCGATCGTGTTTAGAAATTGTATGGAAACCTAGCTTTAGCATAATGTTTAGAACTCCCCATATTACCGTTGTTGTTACCACTGCAGCCATAGTTTAAGTCTCACTGAGGTAAAGTTGGTTTTTTTTATGGAATTTTTATTATTTTATAATTTCTTTTATTATAATTTAATTTTTATTTTGTTTTTCATGTATGTTTTACTTTATAATTTTTTTAAATAATTTTGTATTCACTTTGTAATTCCAACATTAGTTCCCATGGTAATTATAAAAAAGCCCTATGTTTTAACAGACATAGTAAATCTAGTTTCACATTGGACTTATTTGGTCGAACTAATCAAAACTGAGAAATTTCATTTAAAAAAATGTCAATATGGACACAGCTTTAGCCTATGTTGAAAGAAACATATATGAACACATTCCTTCAATTAGAATTGGGTATAAAATTCATAATAAATATTTTGGTTGGATGATCAGGCAAATTAGTAACAGGAGAAGGTCTGTAATTAAGATATAATGCATGACAAGATATTCAGAATGATTCCAATCGGTAAACAACAATCGGCAATAATAACGGTACTCTAAGTGTCCATAGAGAACTTAATAGAGCACAGCAAATAATATAAAACAATTTGATTACACCCCACGAGACGCTCATAGAGGAACAGTTGGCGATTATCATTACAGCCGGTTCTGAATGACATAAGATATTCAAATTGCTACAGAGTGATTGACAAGGAATACAATGCAACGACGGAGTCCAACTCCAAGTCGTATATCTTATTACAGTATATTGAATTATGAGCACATCATAACCTAAACTACTACAGTATATTGAATTATGAGTACATCTACTGTAAGAAAAACTTGGAAAACAGTTTTACAATACCAAAATGGTTTAATCTAAGATAATATAACTTGGTTGTTTCAGTTAAATCTAAACTAAATTGTTTTTAAATAAATTCAAAATGCTTTTATCAAATAAAGTATTTTTTAGATAGATATAAATATCACTTTTTGACATTTACAGCCTTTTAAAATGAAAAGTTGACTACAAAAAAAATTCCCTCTAATTAAAGACCACTCCAATTAAAGACAACCTCCAATTACAGACCACTTTTCAGTGGTCCCAAATTAATGTATGTCTTTCCTTTATTTTTCTAATTAGAGACCAAAGCTGCTACGGATGTTGGAATCCCCTGTCCCAAAAGTGGCCTTTAATTGGAGGGAGATTTACAAATTAATAATTACCGTAATATTTGTTTTACTTCTTCCGCAGACCGATAATATTATATTTTAAAATCAAGTTACATCAAAGTTTATAAGTGGCGTTTTCAGCCAATGGCTTAAGATTAACAGTGAGTTTGGTATTTCTATCTCCTGCTTATAAAATTATCTAATTTTCTTTTACACATCTTGCAAATTTGTCCACGGGGACTTTTCTTAAACGATTTAGGACATA